GAATCTTTGCGGATTCTCGCCCCTTCCCCTCCCTCCCTCTTGGTTGCTGGCCTATGGGTAAGTATGGGTCAGGTAAGTTGTTTCCACTGATTCATTCAGTGTGAAAGTGCCAGTTAACGGCCACTTCTGGGGTTGGTTCCCGCTTCCAGGGTTGCCATGGATACGTCCCTTCAGCTTATGGCTTATGCCCCCCGCTAACCTTTCAGGCACCAGTTCCCAAGCTCATCTATTTGTGATGACTTTTAAGACTTTAAATTCAAATTGGATTTAATTGTTAATAGACTTCTGCCAGTTTTTTTTTTTTTTCATGAGGGGTGAATACCGCCAAAATTAGGTTTGAAATTTTGTTATGCTGTTTGCCAATGTGGTTTTTAATGTTTTCAGTGGTGTTTTTAATGTTACGAATTGCGTTTAACCTGACCTCAATTATATTTGCCAAAACGTCGCTGTTGTTTTAATTTCTTGCTCCTGTATTCGATTATTCATTGCGAATTATGTTTGTGTCGTTCCATATGGTGTTATGCGAACTTCGATTCTATTATTCCTGTTCCGATTTATGTTCTTCTAAATCCGGGTCTTCAGAGAGCTTGACCGCTATGGTCTGGCACGAGTGATAAATTAATTATGCATATTCTTCCCACAGAAAGAAAATTTATGCGACTCTCGATGGCGGAAGTTGTGAGGAATCATTTTCGAGCACGGATAAATGAGATTTTACAACAAAGCACTAAGTGACCAGCAGTCCGCGTTTACAGAATCCTACGAACTAATCATAGTTTAATTTAATTATAGTTGTCTATGTTTTAAAGATATCCCTTTCACGTTTCACGAATTTTGTATTTCCATTGCTTGAGTGGCTATCTGTACTCATTATAACAAAAGTATTAGCTAGAATGTGTAAGATCCATGTCAAAAACGATCCATCGAAGCCATAGTCAAGTTTGCTACCGTGTGAAATAGTTTGCATGACTCATGATAAGCTGAGTTGCAAAAACTTGTTTGAACTTCCTATCTTAGATTTATTTCAATTCTTTACCTTAAAAGATTTAGTGGGAATGTACAAAATAAAAAAAATAGTTGGAAATAATCACAATTGCACAATAATTAACAATTGAATAATTAAGTGAAACATGCGTCAAAATGACCTCACGGAGAATTCTCTTAATGGAACAGTTTTTACGGGCCACCTGTAATTTTTTCCAGGCGAGTACAATAAAGAACCTGCTTTTATTTGGTTGTATTTATTTACTTGACTGTAATATAACAGACAGCATTTGACAAGTTCAAAGTTTGGTACTATTAGCCTTATCACTTTAGGCCCATAAATGGTTCAGCTTCTGAAGGTTAACTATTCTGTAAAAAAAAAAACAAAAACATTTTTAGACAAAATTTAGTCCCAAGTAAAGTTTAAGAGATGCCCCACAAACTGTGTGAAGGACATGTTGAGACAACGTTTGGTATGTCCATATGAGTATGTTAAACATGTGCCAAATTTCAAGTCTCATGGCCACTGCTGAAAGCCCTGTGGCTGAATTTTCAAGTCTTGCAAATTTTGAAGAAAAGAAAAGGAAATCGAACCTTTTGATGTCATTTCCAAAAATAGTTAACCAAATGTGTTCTTTGGGTGAAATAAGAAAAAATGCGTTATTTCGCTTCTGTCGGCTGATTCTCAATATTTTCAGATTTATGGTCTGAATATTTTGCACAATCAAATTGAAATAATCGAAATCAAAAGGCAACAATTGAAATTGAATCAAATCGCAAGGAATATGAATCGTTACCCCCCTACCGATGGGTACACCACAGGAGAGATGGTGGGGGGGTACACTGTAACTCTTGGTGAGCTTCACCTTGTAAGACGTAGCCTGGATTTGAGAGCTGGAGGACTTCTCAATAAAACACCACTCTCCGTCGGTACAAACAATAATATACTGGTCATGAGCATGGGACTTATCTCCGTCGGATTTCACGTACACCAGGTCTCCCACTTGCAGAGGGGTTACGGGAGTGAATGGGCTGTGGCCACCTTTGGTCTTTTTGCTGTACTGATGGTTGGTTTGGCGAGCTTAGTGCTTCACAACAACGTGCTGCCGGTCATTGACGGATATTTGCTCATTGGTGAACTGGTTGTGTTGCTGCCAAAGCTCTCACAAGGAAAGACCTTGGCCACGGAGTTGTGAGTTTAAACGGGCTGTAGCAACCACAAGGCTCAGTTCAGTAACGGGGCCTCTGCCAGGTTCCTGGTGTAAAAGTTCCTCTTCGAGTTACAGTAGAGCTTTTTCAGTAACAGGATTTTTGTTGATGTTTTTGATAAGGCCGACTTCAACTGAGATGAAGCATTTGTGTTCTTAAGTGAAACAAATCCTGGTGTGGGGTCAACACAAGACTGCATGTAGACCATCCGAGGGGGTGTACACCCACAATCAATCGTGCAAGGGCGTTGCGAAGCATGCAACTCTTTTCATCGAGTACAAGGCAAGACACAGTGTAGGCAGTAGTACACTCTCTCAAAAGTAAGATGAAATGGCAGTAGCACCTAATGATATCGGCTGCAAATGACATGTCTACGACTTTGGGTGGTTCTTCTGACGACTGGCTGGCAAGGGAGCTTGGGAACTTCTGGAGTAAGGCACAGGTGTGGCAGGAATCAGACACATGGGTGATAGCGGTGCTCATATCTAGGGCAAAAAAGTGACGCTGTACAACCATTTGAAGTTGGTGCTTGGAAGTGTGGTCTAATTTGATGCACAAAGCAGTAACTAGACCATCAAGTTAAGAGCGTGGTACAACGATCAGCTCAGTGGGGGGCGAGAGTGGCAGTTGACATTGGACGACAAGTAGGCCATCCTTGGAAATAGAAGTGACGTTGAGATAACGCTGTACATCTTTGATGTTAGTTAGTTTCTCAGATGGTCGGGTGCCCTGTTTCAGGTGTGC